TGGAACTTTAGTAGTGCATTGTTGAGATACATCAACAAAATCCGTCACAAAACAGATGTGAATCTGACGTTGAAACGATAAGAATAACCCGGAAGATAAGTATGCACAGTGTAGAGCTGACAACCGATACGAATGAATGTATCCTCAATGATATGCAGCAAATTGATGAGGAATGGTTCACAAAAAGGCAAGAGCATCGATTCAGATAGACTGCATGACATAGACCGTGAGTTTCCACTTTCATTCACTACTACGTCGGTACCTGCGTGAATGTCGTCGAGTTTCATTATGGTTGGCACCATCTGAATCTTGATTCGGCTGTCACGCAGGCCTCCATGGGCACAGCCACAGGACGTCTGCGCCTAGAGAGGGACCATAGGTGTCATGCGCTGCACAACCCACAGCTCTATCTACAACACCCCATATCCAGTGTAAACCCCAAGGCCAGAAGGCATGTGGATGGGAGCCACCTTCCACCAACGGAGCTGCCGCACATTCATTCAACGTGCACAACAGCAGCTTTCCAGTCAGTCCAATTTGGGAATCATGGGTACCAGACGTTCACAAGGCGGTGCTTGGGCTGTAGTCCGCTACACACGGGCTGGCACCACTCTGTGTCTGGCACGGTCACGAGGACCGTGCACCATGTCCTTCTAGCGAAGATTAGCAATCTCTTGGAGCCAGTCATGGAGGTGGAGGGTGTTAGATAGGTAGGCACTTTGCCAACATTCAAATCAAGCGCAGCCACATGGGGTATATCAAACAACCAATACAGAATTTGAAGGAAAATAGACACGCAATGTTGACGGACATATGCGGCAAAATAACAGAACTGAGCAAATAGAAATAGAAATAGAAAAAGTGAATACTTTTATCCAGGTCAAGAAGATCTAGTTTAAGTGTAAACCGATGTAGCCCAGCTGCGGGGGAAAAGCATGAAGTTTGTAACCTCAGCCTCAGCATGAGGCACAACACTAGTTGACGGCATCCGGTTCTGGATTTGCCTGTCACTGTGGCCTCCACGGGGACAGCCACGGGACGCCTGCACCTCCAGAGGGACGATGAGTGGCTATCGCTGCACCACCCACAGCTCCATCCACACACCCCACATCCAGTGCAAACCTAAAGGAATATTCAACGAATTACGGGCAATGCTGATTTTCAACACAGCAAATATTCCCATTGTAATCAGATGAATCAAGACCAGAAAACAGTTCAGGGTTAAGATATGACCGGGATGCATGTGGACGGGAGCCATGTTTCATCAACGGAGCCGACCCACATTCTTTCACAGGCAGACACAAGCACGCTGTATTTGCGGAATCAAGCACACACAAGGCGGTGGCTGGACCGCAGTCTGCTCCATGGCTATCTTCTTCGGAAGGAAATCCGGAAAACTTTGCATGGTCTACCTGTGCCTCCTGATGTCTAACGAATAGCGATCAATGCTGTACACCAGGTTGAACTTTTTCAGTTTTCCCGCCTTCTTTGTGATTCTCTATGGAGAGATGTGATTTATTTCCTTTTTCTCTCCTAGAGCATACACTGAGATGAAACCCTCTCATGAAGCGTTATGGGTAGACGAAACAAGGCTCTTCTGACAAAGCAAGCCTCAGCAATACACAGGCATATCGAACCACCACCGGTTACGCTTCGGCTGGATATACCGCGAGGTTACTCGCATCGCGATGAGACTGGACCTTATCTTAGTGCTATGGTTTGCGTACCACAGCGATCCATTGAGCTATGCTGGGTGGGGTTTTGCATCTTCTGAGCCACTCATACTAGATTGGCCAATGGTTAAAAGCCCGACTAACTCAGTCTCCTGGCCCTCCAGATTGGAGTGAGAATAGCTCCTTACTCCATAAAACGAACTTTCCGTAGCCCAGTGCCGAAACCTCGATCCCTTGTGGTCAGGTTTTGAACCAAACGCTTTGATTGAGAACTTTAATCGTTCTCTTGTCTAGATCTCGGAAATTTGACAATATCCTGCCCACGCAATACACCACAATGACTTTCCCTTAAAACAGTCTCTTGATACTCTGGCTGTCGCAGAGAATACTAAACGGTGCCCTATCTGCTGCATCAAGTCGGGCAAGTAAAAGTTTGGATGCTACTGCTCAAGCCTTCCCGTCTTCTTAGTCCCCCTCTTATGCTTTTTCAATCTTAATTTCGGTTCCAACTTCACTTTTATTCCCCAATTCTTGGTCCCACCACCTTGCTTTGTTAGGCGTTTATCTTCTAGTTTCAACTCACGCGCAATCGCAGGGCGTCGCTCCGGTCCACTCGACAAGTTCATGTCCAGCCAAACGGACAACGTCAGTTCATCTGCTTCTATTTGGAGCCCTCTATCCTCACTAAGACTGGTATGCCTCATTGTGCACACTTTGTTACAAATTGGCCAACAGGCAGCACTTGCCTGAACACTGAAGCCCCTATCAATCGGTCTGCTGTCTATCAGAAACTCGTTTGCAAGATTGGAATTTTGTGATTACTCTGCGATCCCCAATGTGCGACACTACCGGTATTCTCCCATTGCGTTTGTTTGGAGATGAAGAGGCTTCAAATGCCGGTCAAACCGGTGTGGGCATTGGTTTGAGTCCCCTGGATGAAGCTGCCCTGATCGATTGGGTCGGAATAAACAGCCGGATGTGCGTTGTTACATTGGCTTACCCGTTTAAAGCATCAAAGTTGCATGAGAACAAACGGTGCTTCTTTGTCCCTGCGGTCAACACACCCACAGATTGTATCGTTGACTCGCTGAAAGACGACTTCTGTCACCAATTTAACGCATACCTCACAGAAAAGTACGGATACTGTGGTACTTGCTGTTGATTTGAACGCCCAAGTCGGGAAGCTGTCCTCTGGGCGGTCAACACGGTGTAGGCTCCCGTAATGATAACGGTAAGCGGTTGCTACACCTGTGTGAAGATGCTCGTCTCTTTCTTGCGAGCACTAACTTCCGACACAGGACCCGCCGGAGGGTGACATGACGTCGACCAACCTCGGAGCATCCATGGACGCAAATCGATGGCATTGCGATCACACACAGCTGGAGAGGTGTTCAAAACTGTCGCTCGATTTGGAGCACGTGTATGGACTCTGACCACGCACTTGTTTGCACCGACTTCCGGATGCGTTTCGACGCTGTGAACGCATGGATATTTGACAGCTGGCGAAGTCAGCTGTTCTGAATGCGTATCAAAGTTCTGTGGCATTTGAGTAGATGCTCACTGAGCACAGTTGAAGATCACTGGTCACATTTCCACCAGACGTTATTAGCATCAGGTATGTCTTCATGTGGTAAATCAAATTGCAAATCTGGACAGTGGGTTTCCACGTAGTCTGTGATACTTATGAATGTTCGCCGACATGTTCCGGCTGGAAGCGAATGCAATGAGATTCTCAAAATTCCCAGGACGAAACTGTGCTAGCCTGAAGAGAGGTTGCGAAGCGTGGTGGTCTCATCATACATCGGAGATGGAAAAAGTAACTGCCTTGGTAGCCATCGGAAGATTAGCTCCTTCTGTCAGTTTTTTTCGGGCTATGCTTTGCACCCTCGAAATGCAAAGTGCTTCTCCAGGATTGGCTGGGACCCACTCCTTCGCTGACTTTTGTCGGTGATCAGCTAGAAGTCTTCCAAGAAATTAAGTATCTGCGTGGTTATATTAGCGCCCTTTGGATCGAAGTTGAGATCACGAACCGTATTGCAAAATCCCCAGGCGCTTTTGCTAATCCTCGCTACCTGGGGCGCTGGCGTGACGTTACTCGCTCTGAAGTGCAGCCGTTCGTTCAACCCTCCCGTACGGTTGCAAAATCTGGTCCATCAATCAACAGACATAAAGAGGCCAGTTACGCTCTATCATCGCTGTTTAGTTCAAGTAGTGGGAACAGCGCTTGAGCAATGAACGTGTTCACTGCCGCGTATTTGGTGCAAGAAGAGCGAATGAACCGCTCAGCACCATTATATCGCACACCATGCTCCGATGGCTGAGCCACGTGTTGCGCATGCCAACCCACCGACTCCCCCGACGTGCATTGTTTGCGCGCCAGGGGTCTGAATGGAAGAGGAGGTCAAGTGATGACTTGGTCATGAGGAATTAAGTTCTTCACTTCGCACTTGACATTGGTTGGTGTTTCCTGACTGCCGCGTTGGTTACCGCGGGACGATGAATACGTTTTGTTGGATACACTTGCTGACCTGGCGAAAAGTCGACCTCAGTGGGGTTTGTGTTGTGATTTGCTTCGTCCCCCTTCTCACCTTCAGCTTCCTCCTCCAGTAACCATCTCAAATATAATGATTAGCTTCATGTTGCTGTTTCTAGCTTTTTTAGTCTACATTGCTTAATCTCGTATCATTTTTATATTGCGGCACATTAGCTAAGGTGTGTTCCCCACACTCTGCTTATGTGTATTGGTGATTGATTGATGGGGTCCCGAACCTACGTGGATTCCAACTGATGATCTTCGGATTGCAAGGCAAACACGTGATCCTTTCGACTATCGGCCGACTAAAATACCGTACTCCACGATCGATTACGAACTGATTTGACCTCATCATGTAAAGATGGCAGGCGCTCGAATCCCGGCACTTTGTTATGTCAACCGACACCTCGACTCCTAAGCGCGATTACTGGATGTCACTGGTTGAAATGCGCGTAGATGAGGAGGACCTCGCTGAGTACCGACGCCAGACGCGTGACGGCGAAGTTTCGGTACGGTGTACATACGTATTACTTATGCGTTCTTTCTTCTGACAAGGCTTGGTTGTTGTCCGAGGACCTCTGAATAGGCCGATACACAAGTGTTACGCTTTTCAATACCCGAGTCAGCAGCACATCGGTGCTCGGTGACATTCACAGGAGTCTTCCAGATCACGTCTCTTGTTTGTGGCATTTATGCTAATCATTGCCGTCACATTGAGTTGTTTCGGCTAAAAGCATGGTTCTTCTCTTTATCTCCCAATTTTTACACCCTGTCCTGTTCTCGTTCACTTTAAGTATGCAGAAAATCCTCCTGGCCCAAGCGGAAGCCGATGGGATTCGGGCTCGTGGTCAGGCCAACGCCGCCGCCATTGAGGCAATGGGAAAAGCAGAGGCTGAGCGCATGCGTCTACGCGCACAGGCGTACAACAACTACGGAGACGCGGCCATACTCGGTCTCGTATTAGATTCGTTGCCCCGTCTGGCTGCAGAATTGGCCGCTCCATTGGCTCGGACCAAAGAAATTGTCTTGATGGGCGGCGGTTGTGGTGGAGATAGTTCGGGTTCCACGTTGACCAATTTGGGTAAAGATTTTACCACTTTGATGGGCACCCTTCCCCCCGCACTACGTGCCCTGACGTCTGTGGACTTGAGTAAGGTGAGTCGGTTGTTCCTTCACATCACGCTACGTCTGCACGCATTGAACTCTTGTATGTTGACCTCTTAAAGTATTACTTCGGTTCGGATTCCATACAGTAACAATAGCTACACTGTACCGTTACACGCCTTAACAGATTTCACGGACCTCACCACTAACTATCTGTGTAAGCTGCGATAGCTAGCTGTTTGTGACGATATGTTGTTGACAAGGAGTAGGCGCCTTGGATGGAAATATTTGTCTAGGGCATTCGGGCTTTACGCCAGGCCCCTCCTCCCTCTTATTTTTTTCGTTCCGTAAGTCACTGTGGTTGTACGACAACAAAGCATCAGTTCAGGTGGATGATCTGATGATGATTGATAAGGCTGTCGTCTGGTTTAGATCCTCGCTCCTCGTGTTCGACTTCTCACTCTTATGTAGGTATGGTCACTCTAGCATTAGCCTGACTGGCGTGCTCCTGCTTGCAAATATTTCGCAATGTTTCATCGATGCCCAGTGTTGGCACACTGCTCATAGCTTTATGTGAGCATCGACCGGTCACTTCAGTGGGGAAACATGCTTTTAAATCAAATGCTGAAAACCAATTACTCACTATTCATCCGGCCCCTTGTAAGCGTCGTCAACTTGCGCTCGCTGCGACGCTGATTGGCTTTCCAGTAGTCCACTGGCCGCTCGTCGATTTCACTCCCGTAACCTTCCAGCCTCAGGTACAGGTACCCTTTTCCATGAGATGTGATGTGAGACACTCGTGTGTCCAATAGGGGTCTTCGGCCAATTACCGAACCTCTTTTTGGCAACAAATGGCATCCAGTGGGATTATTCCATTTCCCATTTTTGTTTTATATTTCAACGATCCTCATCACTGAGTGTTCTCTTCTGGATTCACACAGTACTTTCCGTGTGGGGGAGTCTGATTGATTTGGGTCTTGCAAATGATCCCATCCTAACGTTCAGTAATTATGAGGCGACACAGTCAACTCTGGATAACGAAATGAGAAGACGAATATTGGCAGATGCTAGTATTTCGTATTATCTCGTCAGTACCAATACAATAACAGGGAAATCCTTTCATATGTCTTACAGGGCATAGTCAAGCCAATCGAATTTATGGTTGTGGTCATTATTGTTGGGATTAGGTTCACGGCAACCGCAGCTTGACAACTAATTGCTTTTCGACACACAAAGCTGGTCTAATTCGGCTTATCCCGACGGCCTCAGCAAATCGTAAAAGGCTTGCATTAGTATGACGTAACAAGATCCGGAACGCCGATACGGGATTAACCCGGTGACGAGTCGCCAAGATGTGACTGCCTATGGAGGACGCTGGCGGCTTACGCGAGCACGTATCATCGGAGGTGGATTGAGTAACTTCGCGCTGAACCCAGTTTGGTAAGTTCCTTCACTCTGGAATCTAAAGCCCGTTCAATCCTTCCGATATAACTGATATCGCAATCACACACGAATTGGTCGACACAATGTGATTTGACGCCGACGGGTTCATTTTCCTTTACTGAAGGTAACGGCAGTTTTCGGGTTCTGTTGATAATTACCGTCTCCGCAGCACAGTATTTACGCTGAATGGCCGAGACAATGCGTTTAGTTATCCTTCTTGCTGCGGTGTCACCCTTGAATGGTAGCTCGATGTACACCTTCTTCTTAGGGGCTGTCAACACCACCTCCTTGGGCGGTCTAACTTGGCTATGTTTGTCTATGAATCGCTTTGGGTAGCCATTCTCCATAAGTGTTTTAGTGATCAGCTCAAACTCCTCAGGCAGGCAATCGTTGGAGCAGATACGTCTGGCCCGAGTGAATAATGTTTTTACCAGCGCGTGCTTGTGTGCCATCGGTGAGAAGCTAGTGAAGTGTAAGTATTGGCCGGACCACGTTGACTTCCATCGGCAGGACTGAACGGGTTTTAGATTCCAGAGTGAAGGAACTTACCTAACTGGGTTCAACGCGAAGTTACTCAATCCACCTCCGATGATACGTGCTCGCGTAAGCTGCCAGCGTCCCCCATAAGCAGGCACATCTTGGCGACTCGTCACCGGGTTAATCCCGTATCGGCGTTCCGGGTCTTGTTACGTCATACTAATGCAAGCCTTTTACGATTTGCTGAGGCCGTCGGGATAAGCCGAATTAGACCAGCTTTGTGTGTCGAAAAGCAATTAGTTGTCAAGCTGCGGTTGCCGTGAACCTAATCCCAACAACAATGACCACAACCATAAATTTGATTGGATTGACTTTGTCTTGTAAGACATATAAAAGGAATTCCTTGTTATTGTATTGGTACTGACGAGATAATACGAAATGCTAGCATCTACCAATATTCGTCTTCTCATTTCGTTGTTCAAAATACTGAAGGGAACTAACTGTTTTAGAACTCTAGATAACTCTTCCGGAGTAGTCATATCTTTCGGCATGCATCCCAACCCGTTAAAATGGGAGCGCTGTTGTAGGATCACCATGCACTGGATATCGCATTGATTCTGAGACCACTAACTTATATTAGCGACGGCATCGGCAGTGACAGGTGCGTTACTACTTAAATTGATTCAAGTATTGCGAAAACAAGGAGAAATACCGTAACGGTACTGCGGCATCTCTGGCACTGAGAAGATTTCTGTTAATCTTAACAACCTTGTATTCCGGTTCACATTTGGGGCTGTTCCGCCATGCAGATCTGACAGCACCACGGGTTCTCAGGTTTATGGACACCATTGCCTTCGGAACACATGTGGTGTTGGTTGGCACCAGGTTGTCCGCAACCACAGGTGGACACCACACGGCAGTGGTCAGATCAGGTCTCTAGATCAACAAGTTGGAATGGATAACTTGTATATTTTCCGGCGCCTACCGTGTGTAACCGCTTGTCGGTTGACAAAGGGGCTTTGCTCAGTTTTATTTGAGTGATGATTCCCGGAGAAGACATCCGAAAGAAACGCAGCGAACACGCGTATTTTCAGTGGATCATCACCAGGCTATTACAATCACAATTAAGCAGACTAAAATGGACACACGAGGTTTAAACGCAGTGTCTAATCGATAAGGCAAAATGATGCTTCTGGTTGTGGTGAAGTGGCGTGATCACCATTGTTAGTTGTGCTAGCCTATGGCCAAGATAAAGAGAGGGCTTGGACGAATATCTTCTCTACACACATATTCACGTTGTGGAGCTGGATCGCGATCGCCTCCGTTGTCGATACCAAGTGACACCTTACTGCCTGTGTATGACGTCCCGGCATACAGTAGGTTGGTTCGAATACGTCGCGCGTGTTGATTTGATGATGGGAGACCAACCTATTTTGGCGAATATCGTCAACCACATGTAAGCTCTGACCACGACTGTTCTACTCATTCGCTTATAGGTTGCATGGCGCGTGTTTTCTGCATCTATTCCTAAAATACACAAATCTGCGGCTCCCAAACACTTCTATTGTTGGGTTGATATGGTCCGCTGGCTCGTTATCGCCTGACTTTCTTTGTAATTCTATGCTACTTACACATGCCGCAGTAGCACCTGCTTTGAGCAATCTCAGGATTCGCCACATCGGATTGGGCGCGAGTACAGTCAGTTGCGCCTTTTCGTTCAGGATTCTTACCTGTTCCATTTTGCTGTGTCAAATCAACTGTATCCACCGCATCCCGGAACATGGACCATATTTGATCAAATGAAATAAACTGCACTATGCACGGCGCTCTCCGATGAATTTCATTTTGTGTAATACTCATCTCATCAATTTCACAATTTCAGACGATATCCAAAATTCCCGGAGCCACAGTGGTTACATGAACTCAATAGAATTGCAAAAGTCAGAACGCGAATTGGCGGGTATCTCTAGAAAGTGCTGATTCGGCAGTGGTCACCATCATCCAGTCTTCCTCGTTCGTACCTATGTTCTTTGAATCTCCTTATTCCACAGTGCATTTCTTTTAGATAACCCAACGTTCCTCTTGATATCTTCTCACGCACTGTCGTATCGTTTAGATTTTCTATCCATTCTGCTCCACTTTGTTCCACATTCTCCATGTTTTTTGGTTTTTTTTCTACCGTGCTTCCGTTCTCGTGTAAATATTCCCCACTGACATAGGCAAATACTGGCACTGATCATTTTATTCCTTATTCTCTTTATGTGTTGCTGTTTCTACTTGTACCTCTGATCTATGTGTGTTGCTTAAGTATTTTTTTCATTTATCTCCTTTTCTCTCCAAATTATGCAATTAAAATACGTTATTGACGGTTTTATTGGGTTGCTACCCATTACCGCTCCGTGACGGAGCTGTACGCTATCGGGCGCGTCCTCATGTTACGGATTGGGGAATGCCTTCCGTCTGGAGGTGATTGCGAATAAGTCTCGTTTGCTTTTCGGGCGAGATCAATAAGTAGTCGCGGACTAGCTGCAGCAGCGTTTCAGGGCATGGGGAGTTCTGGGCTGGTCACTTTGTTCTCCATCAGATACCACAAGAGCTCGTATGGCGCTGTGTCAAAGTCAATGCGACCGGCTATAGGGTCACTGACCACTCACTTCTGTACCCAGAGGTGAGTACCTATCAGAGGGCGGATGAACAACTTTGCTGGTCACCGGCTTCTGTGTGGACTGCAACCGAACACAAAGAAGGCGAATGAGCCACCTGGCTGTCAACGGTTTTCGTATTCAGAAACCTGCGTTAATCGCCCCACTGCCTTGTTGGTCAGGTCTTTAATACCAAAGGCTCTGGGTGGGGTCCCTTAAGTCAAACCTCATCCTCGATCTGGGCAACCGGGAATCTCACTGCCAACGCAACACATGAACCCTCATAACCTTTTCGCTGACAGTTGCTTTTTCTCCTTTTTGTTGTTTTTACTCATGTGTTGTGTCACTCTGCCAGTTGTTTATTGGCTAAGTGTTAAACACACAATACCGCTCCCTTTGTGGGCAAGTCAAGTCATCTCAGGTATGTGACCTGTGCATCCGGAGCTGGGTGAATGTTCAGCTACGGCACAAACACACACTATGCAGTGTTTGTGAATAAAAAGTGCTACAATCAAATAAGTCATGAACTGTAGTAAGAACGATGACTAACTTTGTAATTAACTTCGTTACGGTATAGCAGAATACGTTTTAAATAAGGTATTACCGAAGTGCTGCAGGCCCTCATACATACGTATGCTTTTATATAATCTTTTACTTTTAGAAGTATATATATATATATATTGTTCTGAGGAGCACTTATCCCCAAAAACATTGCGTAAGTCGTAATCCAGACACTGTACTTTTGTGAGTTCACAGTGCTGACACACTCCGATTCATGTCTGACATGCCCACCATTAGCTCACTCACAGCATTGCGTGTGAATTCTCTTGTCACCTAAATGCCCAGGCTACCAGGACGTTTTTCCTCGTCTTTTCCAGTTTCACTATAAAGTTGAGGTTATGCGGCTATGCAACTGCTTTTCAGCTGGCTCGTGAAAGTAATCTGCTGTGGTCCAGTCTTTTCTCCTCCCGGGGTTGGGTGTGGAGGTGGCAAGCGATTCACAGCACGAGTAGTCTAGTTCGCGAGTACCGCTGAGTGTGTTTCGTCTCGTTCGGGGTACAAGTTTACGCGGGGTCGGTATGGTTCCAGTGGAATAAGACAATCGCAGCGACCTCACAGTGCTCATGTTATGGCCCGACGATTCTCTCGTTCACTTGTGGCATAGTGTTAAAACTCTTCCAAACCGTTTAATTTTGCATATGTCCAGGGAATCAATGGTGTCCTGCTGTGTTCGCCTGCATGCAGCCGGTTGAATAACTCATTCGCACCGTCTTCGACCTACAATCGCGTCCCTCCTTCCATGCATTGCTGCTGATTCGAATAGGATCCCATAGCTAGCCTGTTGTGTTGGTGTCGTCATAGCCCTGGCTTAGAAACCTTGTACATAAAATTTCCAAATAAAGCACCATCGCTGATTTCATTTGCTAGCAGAACTGTGATGGTTGTCTGCCTTAACGTGTCTACACATATTTACTTTGGGACGCCGCTATAGGGAGCTAAATTATTCATGGATCTACACTGTAAAGCCATGTATGTTGCGGTTGAACAGTACGTTCACTGGGATAGAACCCATGCAATACATCAAGAAATCAGGCCTCTGGTTCCGTAGGTAGATAGCAAACGATGGCCATCCAGTTTATGTACACATTACGCTCAGATGAAGCAATCCCTACATTAAATGAATACAAACCTTTGCTATCATACATCAAGAAGTTATCAACATCGGTCTTCCCTATGTAATTGTACTCAGTTACAATTTATGATATTTAGGCCACCCCTTGAGTTTGACTAAAAAGACTAATTAGGCGAGTCACGTTCCAGGTTCTGTCTTCAATATATTTAGGTAATCTTCTTTCTTTGGAGACACATACTGAGACTTTGTAAGCAGAAGTGATGCCAGAATGGTGACCCTTTGTAGGACACCAGAATCTGTGGTGGGGAGTTCGTTCTGCCAATTCGAGTTAGCTGTACGTCTGGCAAAATAATCTCTCCGAAGGAAGACTGGGAGATTTAAATCCAAAGATGATTGGACCACACACTATCAATTCTCAGTTTAAACAACCGAGAGCGCAACTAGTGTCAAGAGTAAATATTTGTGGCTTTGTTTTATTGAAGAATGATGGCAGTTCGGAGGCCACTGCGTCTATGTTGAACGTAAAACTACCATAAACAGACTGGAAGGGATCATTTTAGCCGTGTTACCTACAGTAATGGGTTTCTTTAGCATCTTAAAGGCTGCTGAACTGCTCGCATTGGGTCCGAATTTGTTGCTGTTTCTTGTGCATTCGGCGGGACGCTGCAGTGATTCTGTGTTGTTTTAGACACTGAACCAGAAAACCAGTACTTTCCTTTGGCACATTTGGAGCGTTACTGGGCCGACCTTGTGCTCTAGACTATGCTGTCGATTTGTGCAGATGTTTCAGCAGGCCATGAGCTGGATGGGATGGACCTGATGTTGGCGCAGCATAAGTCGCGGTTTTATTCACCACACTCACATTCGAGACCAAAACATGCAGAGTGATTCCACTTTGCCGTCTCACCCTCCTCTATAGTTCCTAGTAATTATTATTCTCCGGATTAGTCTGTTTGTTCTACTGCGCAACACGGCCGGCTATGGGAGTGGTCATCGTGACTCAAGCTTGTCCTTACACGGTTTTGTTTCAAGTCCCGTGATTTGGACGGTTGACGACATTCTGTCTTCGCCTGGCCTGCGCTTTACTTTGCAGGGAATCTTTGCCACTCGGACTGTGGTCGAAAAACGTAAACGTTGGGAGTTGTACGCCCTCATTGCTACACTGCTTGATTGCTTTGGTGCTTATTTTCACTCTGAAATTTGAGAACATTTAGCTAGTAATCTATTCTCTGACGTAGAGATTACCGGCAGACGCCCTTCGTAATTCTCGACTTTCTTAATCTTTTAGTTGACGTTAGACGATGTGCCTCTGCGCTCTTGCAATCATCTTTCAGTATCTGAACTGACCTGATCTCTCACATTGACCCAGAGTCAATTCTGATTCGAACACAAGAGGCTGCGATGGATTTCTGGTTACTAAGATTCACCAGCACATGACTAACGCGAAGCACGAACGACCAGAAATCTCGAAGTAACTTGCGGGCATAAGTCATAGGAAAAGATATCAGAATTAATGTACTATGTTTGTCCTATGAATAGGCCAGCAGAAAATTGCATGCGTAGTTTCCGATTTGGATGATCCCAAATTCCCCGTACAAGACAACGACATTCACTGTCCCAACGAATTCTTCCGGTCGATTTGCTCCCGCCATATCGTTCCGTTGACTAAATTCCGCGAGCCTTGTTCAATCTGGTATATTGGTTGAAAACTGCATAATTTGGTAATCTGGTGCGCTAAAACTGTAATCTATCTAGCTAGCATTCCAGCGCGGTATCAGTGAATGTGCTATTGGACACCTGCTGTTGCCAAAAATGAGTTACATATCGCAGGCATTAGTGATCTAAAATGACCAATTCCTTACTTAATATCGACATGTCAGTGACCAACGCAACAACGTCAGTCGCTCTCTTGTGTTATATTTCCTGCGCTTGATTGACAAGACGTTGTCCCCTAAGGTGGCCGCGACTTCTTAAATTGAATTGGTAATTCTCTCAGTCACATCTGATGAATTGACTGCGGCAGATGGCAACAGATATGGCTGTGGTTCATCGAAATCTGGTAGGCCATTATTAGGCCTCCACATAGGCACCGTACCATCTGAGAATCCTCAGCCTAAGTTGATATGGATGGAAGTTCGGGCGGCCCTTTGACGTGTTTAGTGGCTCTTGGCTGCGGAGTCGCGAGCGCTGCGAGATCTTTCTTGCGTCAGGCCTGGATTGCATATTCCACTTGAGGCCACACTTTTAGCAACTGTGGACAGACGGATCAAGGTCCTTACAGTCGCACCGATGATGTTGCCTCATCTGGTAGCGAAACGTCTGCAAAACAATCTTCAGCTCGGAGAGCAGTGCAAAACCTAGTTAGCAGCTTTTCTCAAATTCTTACAGACACAATGCAAGCAATCGACCGAAAAAGTGTTACCTCGAGAATCTCCTTTTACCTGTTACCGATTTGGAAATCAGCATTTCTCGGCAGGGGAATGTCGTCATAAACAGAGTATCTGCCGCCAATGTGCAAAAGTAGGGCATTTGGCCCGAGTTTTCCGATCTAAAGGTGGCACAGTTGCGATATCACGGTTCCCTAAGAAGCCCGTGGAGATCGTCCAGTCTTCAGACGACTAGCTAAACATGATTTGGAACGCAACGTCGAGCATCTGTAGCATTCATCCACCCTCCGCTGTGCAATTGTAAATAGAGGGTCGGTAACTGAAAATTTATTATCAAAAACAAGGGACCGAAGGTAAACAATTGTTTTCGATGAATTCCTCGTCAAACCTATACGATCAAATGGGTACAATAGCAATGCGCGTAACAGTGGACTGGATCAATTCAAATGACCAGGGGCATAAACCAGCAACAAACGCAGACGATAAGCGCAAAGTAGGGCAAAGATTTATTCGAACGATTGCTGCCGGCCAGGGTAGCTTAAGAGCTCCGATCGGTTTCTTTTGTGAACACAAAAGACGTTGATACACCTGAATACTGATAGCCTCGACTGCAGCAAGGATGCGGAGGCGCGCGCATTTCGATTGGAGTGGAGGAACCTTTTTATAGTATTCGAAAGACACGGATTAGGTCGACTTCATGCCCATTATCAA